GGAGTAGTGGAGAATGTGTTGGTAAAAGTAGGGAAATTTTTCTTTCCTACTGATTTTGTGATCTTAGACATGGAGGAAGATCCAGGAGCACCTTTTATTTTGGGAAGAACATTCTTAGCTACTTCAAGGGCATTGATTGATATGGAGAAGGGTAAGCTTATACTAAGGGTTCATGAGGAAAGCTTAACTCTCAATGTTTACAAGCCCATGACTCACCATGGCATAAGAAGCAGCCTCAAGATCAACACAAAAGAATTAACAAAGCAAGACCCTCCAGACAAACCGCTCAAAGGTCAACCTCTTTACAAGACAGTGAATGAAAAGTCAAATCCATCTCTAAATAGAGCTAAGATAAAGAGAAACAAAAGTGGAGTAGAACAAGCTTCATATATGGACAAGTTTCCATAGACTCAACTTGCATCAGAAGCTCATTATCATGCTACCAATATTTGTCACAGCAAACAAACCCTTACAGCAAATGCAAGCCCAATGAATACTGATCCACCATGAGAACAAGCCACTATGTCAAGCTAATGACATTAAAAGAGCGCTTATTGGGAGGCAACCAAACCATAGTATTCTTAGTAGTTCTTAGTTTTTCTTTCATAGAAATAATCATCTTATCTTATCTCTAACTCATTCTTATATCTCTTTCATGCAGGTTGTACAAAGCAAAAGAGAAAAGAAGAAGAAGACACTCATCAAAAAGGGAAAGAAGACATTTCCACTGCATACATTCACCATTCTATTCCATTCATCCATTTTCCCTAAGAATTTTGTCATTTTGCATAAACATGTCATTGCATACTTACGCATTAAGTTTGGTGTTTTCACACTAAGTAGTGGTGAGTATTCCCGCCTGTCACGCGGGTGACCCGGGTTCGATCCCCGGCAACGGCGCCAAAAACTTATACCCGAAATCCTTTCGGAATTTCAAACTACCACCGGCAAGTGCACCGGATCGTATCAAGTAATAAAAGTGTGAGTAGAGTATCGTTCCCACGGAGATTAATAGACTAATCAATAATGATCAATTAATTATCTAATTAGACCAAATAAAAATCAAGAGAGATATAATATATCTAAATCTAATCCTAACTAATCCTAATCAAATCAAAACAAATCAAAATCAAATCTAAACAAATCTAATATAATTCTAATCTAATCTAATCACCTAAAATCATGCAAAATCAATCAAATCCTAACAAAATCACTAATTAACAAACATGGACAGCAAGCAATCAATTTAGAGAATGAAAATAATAATGAGAAACAAGCCAATGAATAAAATATGTTCACCCAAACACAACCCTATTGCAAATAATCAAGTTACTTCACATGCAAGCAATCAACAAATCACAAGAACCCTAATTAACCAAACCCTAATCTCTTAGTGATTTAGTTTCTCTAATCCTAATTAATTATTAATCTCTTAATTAATCAAATAGGAGAAGAGGTGAAGAACAGATCCA